TCTTTTCCTTGCAGAATCCTTAATCATGTCTCCCAAATATGAGTTTTCCATGCAACTGCACAAATGAGAAATAGGGAGAGACTAAGGAGAATAGCATGTCTTGATCCTGAGGACGTGATAGTTGAATGAATGTCTAAGACGTCTCTCCCACCTGTCTTCTGAAATGTTTCGAATTTCCCAGGGATCTGTCCTTGCCCCTGATCTGATGAATGTTTTTATCGGTGAGATGGATAGAAACACAGAAAGCAAGCCTACCAAATATTTGAATGACACAGAGGTGAAAGGGGGTTTGGGAACAATTATAATTTTTAAATGACTTTGGCAGACTGTGAGGCACTGGGTTAATCACAGTAAGTTGTAATTTATTAGGGGCAGTGTTAAAACCTGTACTTCAAAATCAAAAGCAGAAGTACAGGTTAGATAAGGATTAAATTGACAAGGGTTTTATAAGAAAAAGTTGTAGGATTTTATGTGACTGTGAGAAAGGTATGAGTCAGTGGTGTGATGTGTTTATATTTAAAAAAGGAAGTCAGGGACCAAAAACAACAACAAAAAAGGAAAGTAATCTTTCTACTTTACGTAGTTTGCACAAGTTGAAATATACTCAGTGGGTTGTATTCCATATTTGGGCCAAATTTAAGAAGGATATTATTAAATATAATTAGTTTCTAAGGGAAAGAAAGAAAAAGTAAGGCTGAATTTAAAAGATCCCAAAACCATGTTGTTTAAAGAATGGTTGAGGGAAAATAAGGATATTCCATCTATTTTTTCGAACTGCCATGCAGAAGAGGAGTAAACTTGTCTATTTTGCTCTGAAAAGCAGAAATGGGATTGATGAGAGTTCATGGAAACAGATTTTGGCTCAATAAAAGGAAACTTTTTCAAATAATTAGAGCAGTTCGTGACTATTTGACTAAATTGTGAGTTTCCTGTCACTGGAAATATTCAGGCTGAGGCCAGATGAGTGTCTGGGATTCTGAAGGCTTCTAGCATTGAATGAGAGCTTAGGGTAGGTGACCTTTAAGACCACTTTCAGCTCCCTTAGTCTATGATTTAAGTAAGCATGAATGCCAAGGCCGCTTATGACATGCCAGAGCTACTTTTTCAACTCTTGGCTCTGATTCTGACCAGCTGTGTGACCTTCAGCTAAGAAATTAACCATTTTGTGTTCCAGTTTCCTCAGCCATAAAATGAGGGATCTAGATTTAATGATATCTGTGAGTTCTCTGCATCTTCATAATTACAGCATGTTGGAGCTGATACCTGCCATTTTTCTAAGTCACCTTACACGGAGAAGACGTAACAACCAAAAGCCATTGTTGATTCTGGGGACCATTTGACTAAACTCTCGGTTGCTTGTTGGCAGGAGAGTGGATGATTGTGATCCTGGGATTTGTTCTCATGAGATCTATGGCAGGAAGCTGATCAAATAACTGATAATCCGGTTTCTCTCAAACACCTGTACATTCTGGCTGAGTTCAGCAATGCCTTTGCAAACAACTTAGAAGAAATGAAGGTCACTTTACTATTGCAATACAGTTCTGTCTCTTACAAAGCAAACCTTTGTTCTTGATTTCCTTAGTGATCTGGCAGTTGCTGTTGAGCTTGGCTTACAATAATATGAACCAATATCCATAAAAGAGCTTACTATGTGGCAGATACTGTCCTAAAAGTTTTGTATAAATTAATTTACTTAATCAGTTTATAACCTGAAAATCTAATGATTAATCAGTAGATTAGATACTTTTTCCCCTGGACAAGGAGTAGTTAAAATCCAGTTTAAATCCATCCTAATGGTAGAGAGTCCAGAATTCAGATCCCTGCCCTCATTCTTTCAGGCTTCATTGCTGGTGTTCAATTACGATAATTTCCTGTGTGGTTCATTTGATTACTAACCCCTCTCTTCTCTGCCTGTATGAGGTGCTTTATCTGCCCCTACTATATTCCAGCTCTTCTTTTTTTTTTTTAAATGTTTTATTTATTTCTAGGAGAGAGAGAGAGACAGCGTGAACAGGGGAGGGTCAGAGAGAGAGGGAGTCACAGACTGAAACAGGCTCCAGGCTCTGAGCTGGCAGCCAGCACAGAGCCCGATGCGGGGCTCGAACCCACGAACCGCGAGATCATGACCTAAGCGAAAGTCGGACACTTAACCGACTAAGCCACCCAGGTGCCCCTATTCCAGCTCTTCTTTTTCCTCTTGGACTTCTCTCTGACTCCCACATCATTGTCTCCAAATTCCATTTCTTAGGTTACTTTTTCTATAAGTTTTTGAAAACACAACTACGGTGGGAAGACCATAGTTTGCTTTGTAGTAATAGACGGTAGGAGTAGGATTTCAAATCTCTCTTGGTTGCTGAGGTTAGTGGGGGAAGAAATAAGTAAATTTATGCATTTTGTGAGGACATGAAGAATTTAAAACCTTATTCCAAGGCTCTCAGGTCTGGCAGTACTCACTCCATGCAAGTACCACATTTTCTTCCATGTCTTTGTTTCCTGAGGTTGGAAATGAAAACAGCTGTTAAAAGTAAGAGCTCATGAGTCAATCCTGAATCTCAATGTAGCAATTACAGTTTCCATCTCTGTTGGTAAAGTCCCTCCCAGCGTACTGAGCCCCGTATCACAGCCCCCCTAGCTGTCAATTTTATACCAAGACTTTAATTTGTGTTTTCCAGACCTCAAAGATTAAATGCTAAATCATTTGCCAAACCAGAAAAAAATAACAAGGAAGAAAATACTTCGGTTTAAAAACTTGATTCTCAGACATGCTCTCTTTCTGATTTAGAGCTTGAGCAGAACCCTCAAGCAGAACCCTTGAGCAGTATTAGAAATGTCAATTATTGTTCCACATGTTTGAAGGTGGAAATTCTGGGCTTTGTGGTATCCTCACTGTGGAGAATTTTGCTTGAACGCTTATACTTTTTTTTTGTTAATTTTTAAGTGCTTATTTTTGAGAGAGAGAGAGAAGAGGGTGGCCTTATGGGGCAGGGGGGAGGGACAACGAAAGAAGGGGAGGGACAGCGGATCCAAAGTGGGCTCTGCACGGACAGTGGAGAGCCCAATGTGGGGCTCGAACTCAGGAACCATGAGTTCATGACCTGAGCCGAAGTTGGACACATAACCAACTGAGCCACTCAGGCACCCCTGCTTGAAAATCTTATCAGTGCTAGCCTTGAATTGTATTTTCCCTTTTCCAAGTCCCTGAGACTTATGCCCTCATAAATCAATCTCAGTATAGTCATCGATAGCCTATTAATTGTCACCTTCTGGAGCACATTGATCCTTTTTTAGTTTGGCCTCGTCCCTTTTAGCAACCATCTGTTCCTTGACTAAGTAATCCCATTGTCTGAGGCTCTGAATGTCCCCAGTGAATCAGCTGCCTTGAACTGACCAATCTAATTTGCCCTATAAATCCAGATCACATGCTGTTAGCAAGAGAGCTTCATGTCCTATAGGAGAAGCTGGAGGCAAGAGACTTGGCCCTTTCAGTCACTTCATTTTGCTCTATTTCCCCTTTCAAAGATTTGATTTATTTATTGTTAGATTATTTATAAAATCCCTTCCCCTGCAAAGATTTTTATAATTCTGTTATCATTGTATCCTCCAAGAGCTAGTTTTATGCATTGAAAATTGGCTCAGTCAGATTGGGCTCCAATAACAAAAATATTCTAAGTCCAAGATCAAAGCACCGGCAGAACCAGTTTTTGGTATGAGAGACAGAAGCGAGGGAAGGGTCTCTTCTTATAAAGGCACCAATCCCCTTATGATAAGGGCCGTAAGCCCAACACAGCTTTGTGACCTGATTACTTCACAAAGGCTCTGTCTGCAAATATCATCCTGGGGAGTAGGGTTCCAACATATGAATTCTGGGGGACACAAACACTCGGTCCCTGGCAGAATTTTTCCATGCATGGTGTGATTTTCTGGGAAGGCTGTTGAGCCCCTCAACCACACTTAAAATCCTGCATAAACATTACCTTTCAGATACAATACCTTTTAAAGTCTAACATGTTTGGAAGGGCAAAGCTGTAAAACTAACCTGTGAGGTAGTATAGCATAGGCTGGCATGGTATAGTGTCGTCGGACTGGGATCAGAATGCCTGCATTCGCACACTTACTAGCTGTGTGACCTTTGGCAATTCATTAACCTTTCTGGGCTTTTGGAGCATCTATATAGTCAACATGATAATAACACTCACCTCACAGGCTTTTGTTTTGTTTTGTTTTTGAAAATTTTTTTTTAGTCTTTATATTTGAGAGAGAGAGGGAGAGAGGGAGCATAAGTAGGGGAGGGGCAGAGAGAGAGACACAGACTCTGAAGCAGGATCCAGGCTCTGAGCTGTCAGCACAGAGCCCAACGTGGGGCTCGAACTCACGAACACAAGATCATGACCTGAGCCAAAGTTGGATGCTCAATCATCTGAGCCACCCAAGTGCGCTGTCACCTCACAGGTTTTTGTAAGGTTTCAGTGAAATATGTAACATGCTTAGAAAAACAGTATCTTGCTATATAAAGTGTTAGAAACTGTCATCCTTTATTTGCATAAATCAGCATATCTGACAGAAAGTTAATATCAAGTCACAAAGAAATTGGTGTTTTTTTCAGGGAACTGGGAGGGGGTACTGTGGATACCCAAGGCCCGGTGAAGGAATGGTCTGCCTTAGTGAGGGGCTATGGTTGGAGACATACAGCCAGCAGGTGCCTAAGTGCCCGAGGGAAGCATTTATAAGAGAGATAAACAAACGGGGCTAGATCTGCCTCCAGTCCTAACCAGTATGCCCTGTAAGTGATAGAATTAATCAGCTGCTATAGTGAGCAAGCAGTGTGACACACATCTGCAGAAGAACTTTGAATTCAGGACCTGCTTCATTTTTCCGTGTTCGTAATTCTCTCCCTCGTAACATTCATGTAATGTTAGGTCTCTGAACCATTATGCTCGAAGAACCATAGTAAAATGTAGAAGTATTTTTCTTTGCTAAGTGCCCTTGCCTCTTTCTTTTAGATTACATGAAGCAGACGACATTTGAAGCCCAAGCCTTTCTAGAAGCTGTGCAGTTCTTCCGGCAGGAGAAGGAACACTATGGCTCGTGGGAGATGATCACTGGGGACGAAGTCCAGGTAACACGGGCTCAGAACCTCTCTGTCTGTGTGTTGGAGGTCAGCTTCATAATAAATAATCACACACACAAAAACGGAAGATGTGATTCTCAGGACCATTTCTCTCATTGTCTAGAAGCGTTTGGTCCACAGGCTATTGGGCACCATCTCCAAACACCTCCAGACCAGGCGCAAAACAGGGCAGTTTAAAAACAGGGCAATCGCAACGAGGAGCTGCTTCCATTCTTTTCTATTCTTTTCTATACAAAGCATTATTCTTTCAACTGAGCTCATGTCTCCAGACTATAATCCAACGTGAGCAGTGTGGCACAGTTCAAAGTGTGTGATGGGGGGCTTAGGGCAGCCGACTTGGATTAAATCTTGCCAAGTTATTTAACCTCTTTTAGTCTCAAGTTACTCTTCTGAAAAAAATAAAAAGAGTAACCATAATGTTTGCCCTGCAGGGTACTGAGCACTAAGTGAGATGTTCTTGGAAAACTCTTTGGCATGCACTTTTCTCTATTTATTGAATGATTTATAAATGAGGTCAAGGAAGTACATTCTAAAAGCATTAAGACAATTTTTCTATGTGTTTTACTTACCTCTTCTAGTTTTATAGCACCTATAGTCTGATATAATTTTCCTATGACCTTGATTAAATTCTAGTCATGGGCTAAGCATGTCCATTGGCCTGGTACCAGGGACGCTGTTACAAATCTCTAAGGAAACTGTGTCCGCGAGGCCACCAATCACACAGTTGATTCAGCCAGGAAGAGGAGACTGGGAATGGCATTATTTAATTAGGGGCACAAGGGTCCAACAATGCTATTCTTTAATTTCCCCTCATTTCCCTGAGTGCCTCTTTTGGGGGCCAGGGAAATTTGTTATTAGGAGGCAGTATTTGGAAGAGACCAGATGGGGCCTTGCCTTCGTAGGGTCATTAAACATCTGAAGCCGAAAACATTTGATCACGATGATGGGGCTGTTCTTTATTGTTTAACCGTATGACTCACAGTCTTCTTTTTCCCGCCCACCCCTGCTTTGGTGGATTCTAAACTCATTTATTTCTTAGCCTGAGACTTATTCCAGAACGTTAGCTAATTCCTGGTTGCTGATATTTGGGGGAAGCACATCCATTCATGTGTAACTGTACTTACACCATAAAGAAAATTGAAACCGAAAGGGGAGACTGAAACATTTGATACTGATTGGCCTGCCATATAAACCAGCACACTTAGTAGACATACCAGTATTAAAATGCCTTTGGGTAATACTTTTTAATGTTAAAATCCTAATTCTGTGTGCTCATTATATCAATCTCATGAGGTTATTAGTATTTCTATTCTGTAAATGAGAAAACCAAGTGAGGCAGATAGCAGTGAGGTGGCTTGTCCAGTTTTATTCATTCAACGGCTATTGAGCCACTCTATGCGAGGCACCGTGCTGGGTGCTGGCCCCTCCATGCCAGGCACCGTGCTGGGTGCGGGCCCCTCCATGCCAGGCACCGTGCTGGGTGCGGGCCCCTCCATGCCAGGCACCGTGCTGGGTGCGGGCCCCTCCATGCCAGGCACCGTGCTGGGTGCGGGCCCCTCCATGCCAGGCACCGTGCTGGGTGCGGGCCCCTCCATGCCAGGCACCGTGCTGGGTGCGGGCCCCTCCATGCCAGGCACCGTGCTGGGTGCGGGCCCCTCCATGCCAGGCACCGTGCTGGGTGCGGGCCCCTCCATGCCAGGCACCGTGCTGGGTGCGGGCCCCTCCATGCCAGGCACCGTGCTGGGTGCGGGCCCCTCCATGCCAGGCACCGTGCTGGGTGCGGGCCCCTCCATGCCAGGCACCGTGCTGGGTGCGGGCCCCTCCATGCCAGGCACCGTGCTGGGTGCGGGCCCCTCCATGCCAGGCACCGTGCTGGGTGCGGGCCCCTCCATGCCAGGCACCGTGCTGGGTGCGGGCCCCTCCATGCCAGGCACCGTGCTGGGTGCGGGCCCCTCCATGCCAGGCACCGTGCTGGGTGCGGGCCCCTCCATGCCAGGCACCGTGCTGGGTGCGGGCCCCTCCATGCCAGGCACCGTGCTGGGTGCGGGCCCCTCCATGCCAGGCACCGTGCTGGGTGCGGGCCCCTCCATGCCAGGCACCGTGCTGGGTGCGGGCCCCTCCATGCCAGGCACCGTGCTGGGTGCGGGCCCCTCCATGCCAGGCACCGTGCTGGGTGCGGGCCCCTCCATGCCAGGCACCGTGCTGGGTGCTGGCGACCTAGAGATAGGCAGGACAGGATGGTCCCTGCCCTGTGCAGCTGGTAGTTTCACAGTCCCGTGTTAAGCGGACAAATAGCAAAAGAAATGATGGCTTCTGATTCCTGGTCCAGTGAAAGATCAGCACCAACCATGAGGCTATCCCAAGTTCAACCTTTAGTTAACTCCTCAAGTTTAGCTATGCTATTTGCTTAACCTTTTCATTTAGAATCTCCTATCAGCTCACGTTCTTTCACGACGCCATTGAAAGCAGGTACCTAATGAATCCTTTCTTTGGATGCAATCCTTGCATTGACTTTCTGTTTCTTGCTTTGGGTTGATTTGTACTAAGTGCTAGAAGGTGCAAAAGAAGCAAATGACTCATCCCTCGGCCTTGCGGTGAGGCAAGACATACCTAGAAGCATCCCGAGAACGAGGCAGCCTCAGAAGTGTGTGTGGGTAGACATATGTGGGACTGCACATATACGGACATCATAAAGCACAGCAGCCAGCCGTGATAGGAAGGTGCTAATTTTGCAGTATAAAAAATACCATAAGTGGGAAAGCAGAACAACACAAAACAAAAACAGAGAGGAGACCAGTCAAAGCTGCAGTTATCAAGCAACCCAGTAAGAAAGTTTGCTCCCCCAGGAATCTGAATATCTCTGGTGAAATTAGACTCATCAAATGTGAGCTCCAAGAAGGGATTTCAAGGATTGTTTGTCCAAAACCATCCAGTGAAACAATGTTCAGAGAGGTTGGCTGAAGTCACAGCTCCAGTCTGTGATGGAAGCCCATTTTGAGCCATGTCAGGCTCTCCTTCGAGAAGCTGGCGAAAGGAAATGGGTTCTGAAACCTTCCTGGCTGGGGCCTAGTGGAGGTCTGCTTCAACATAACCTCACAAATGAAGCCGGAGCAGCGTTAGGAAAAAGAGTTCAGAGGCCTGGAGAAGCTACCAAGTAGTTAAAGAAAATGGCATGACGTAACTGAGTTTGAGAATATGACATCTTCTGTTTAAATTTTTTTTATGTTTATTTATTTTTGAGAGGGAGAGAGCAGGGGAGGGGCAGAGGGAGAGGGAAACACAGAATCTGAAGCAGGCTCCAGGCTCTGAGCTCTCAGCACAGAGCCCCACACGGAGCTCAAACCCGCAAACTGCATGATCATGACTTGAGCTGAAGTAGGATCCTTAACCAGCGGAGCCACCCAGGTGCCCCTGACATCTTCTGTTTATTTTATAATTTTTTAAATATAATTTATTGTCAGATTGCCTTCCATACTGACATCTTCTGTTTAAAACACTGGGTTAATTTGCATTTTTTTCCTATCTCCCAAGCACTTGATCATCATTTTGTCATCACCCCCACTAACCTCATGGCTTGGTATTCAAAAGATGCTCAGCATTGTTACATTATTATCTTTGTAGTAATAATTCACACAGCAAGTCTGGTGGGCCCTCACGGCGGTGGTGATTTTTTAGACAACTGCCAAGGCAAAGCAAATACCTTAGGATAACTTGCCTACAGACTATTAAGGTGAAAATATTTACATACTAGTAAAAGCGTCAATATATATCCTACTTATCTATAAAAACGAATTAGATGAAGTTATGAAGAGAAGCATTTTGCAAAATGTAAAGCATTTACAGTGCTTTGGTGTATTTATTATTTATTATAGTAACATTTATTTAATATATATTTATGATTTATAATTACTTTATAAATTTAAGTTTGCCTTTAAATGAACCAGATGAGCTGAGAAAGTAGCTTATAATTCCCACAGAACAGGTGGTTTCAGTACAAGAAAACTGTCCACATTTTAGGCCTTCTCCGTATATTTTAGAGTTGACTTTTGTCTAATGACCTTGAATGTGACCGCTTTAAATCGATTCTTTCACCCATGGCCTCTCAGTAGCACAAAAGGCATGAGGCTGACAGCCTGGTCAGACCATCAGGCCAGTCTTAGGAAGGAGGGCAGTCTCTGGGGACCTCACCCCCCATCCCCCCACATCTGGAAGGTAACACATGGTGTGGTTGGTTTGAACAACCTAATGGCATGTTTCTTAACTGTGTGATGATGGAATTTTAAAATCTGTACATCCCAGGGGCACCTGGGTGGCTCAGTTGGTTGGGTGTCTGACTTCGGCTCAGGTCATGATCTCACAGTCCGTGAGTTCGAGGCCTCGCATCTGGCTCTGCGCTGACAGCCTGCTTCAGATTCTGTGTCTCCCTCTCTCTCTGCCCCTCCTCTGCTCATGCTCCATCTCTCTCTCTCTCTCTCTCTCTCAAGAAAAAAATTTTAAAAAAACATTTAAAAAATTAAAATCTGTACATCCCAGAAGTTAAATTCATACACACACAGATACGTGTGTGTGCGTGCACACACACACACACACACACACACACCATTTTTATTAAAGCAAAAGCGGTATTTTTAGGACCCTTATGGTAAAACCCAGTAGATCCTATTCTGAAGAGAGCAAGTAGAGGAACCCCTTGATTAGCACAGTTTACTTATTAAAGTGGCTACATTGCCTGGAACAGCCCCAGCGCTCTGGACCCTGCTCATAGAGAGCTGACCGAGGGAGGGATCTCAGAGCGGGCCCTGGGCAGGCGAGGGGCAGCGCAAGGATGCAGGGCGGGGCTGACGGTTAGGGGAAGACGGTGACTCAGTGTTGGGATGCCGCAGCTGGGCCGCAGCGCTCCAAGGCTCTGCCTGCCCTTGTGACTTGTCAAGCCCCCCACCCTTGCAAACCATTCCTGTTACCCTCCTTTCTTTCCCCCAGACATCTTTCCTTTTCAGTTCCCTAAATTATAAAATAGAACTGAATGTCTTGGAACATTATATGGGAAAGACTAAAAGAAAACTCTAAGCCCACCCAAATGGACCATTTTTGCCCTTTGACCTTGGTAACATATTCATCTTTTCAAACCCCTCTCATGCTTATGTTCAGACTCAAACCAATCTCTGCAGAAGGATGAACTATGACCCTGGATGTAACACTTTCAACTAAGATAATATTTCCCATTATTTTTAAGTTCTGGCTTCGGTCTCTTTATTTTCTTAGCTTCTTCTCCCCATGCTACACTTTAATCACTCTTGGGAAGATGTGTTCCAATTAAGGACTTATTCCATTGTGCAGGATGGGGGGAGGGTCCGTGGATTATTCATTCATTACCTATTTGAATCTAATTGTTGGACCTCCTACTCTCCATGGAGCTTGCACATATCAAGTTCCTTTTAAATTCCTCAAAAATTCTGGTTCACCTCTTGACCGCTCCCAGAGAATGGCTAAGAAAGAAACATATCTCTACCAATGAATCACCAGAACTAACGGAAATCCTATCCCCATTATAATCTTGGTCACACCATGAAGTTCCACGTTGCAGGTGACAGGAGCCCCTCTCCCTGCACTGACCTGAGCAGCCTTCTCTCCCAGGAACCCACAGGCATAGGGTGACTGGACCCCTTGGCCACCTCCACCCTGGGGGTGTTCCTATCCAGTTCAGCTAACATGTTACACCCTGCTGTAACAGAGCACTTGGTGGAAGGCAAAATCTAGTGAGCTCATAAGTATTTCCACTAGCATGAGGCTGACCAATGACCTCAGAAAAAAATCTTCCATAATTTCCAAAGCCTAATTTGAATTTTATGAGAAGGAGGTCAATTATTTTGCATAAATATTATTTTAAATTCATAGAACAGATGTTAAATGATTCTCTACTTTCCTGCCATTCCCAAAATTACTTTTTCCCTTGTAAATCTTGTTTTGTAGACTGATATTGAAAACTAGGCTGTGGGCCCCAAAAGATTTATAGTAAACCTGAATCTGAACAACAAATCTCCTCCAGTCTGGGGGGAGGTAGGTAGTTAAAGAAGGAGCATTGTTACGCATTGACACAGAGAACACTGCTCAAATTTAAAAAAATTTTTTTTTCATTGAGCCAAGTAAAATTTTAGGAGTGACTTGGAAGCAGTTTTTTTTTTAAATATTCTGAAAACTTCAAATCCCCTTCCCCATATTCTGCTCATCCCACAAATGTCCAGTTGCTCCAAATATCTGTTACCCTCTTCTTTTTCTAAACTTTAAAGAGGATGGAGGGAGCGTGCAGAAAACAGCAGGGATAAAGAGCATGAAGACACATAGATCCCAAGGGACCTTGGGGGGCATGATGGTCCCAGGGGACACAAGCTAGGATGCAATCCACCAAAACCAAGCCTGACCCCCTTCACAATGTTGCTAAGTGTGCCCTTACCCCTAATGAAAGTTTTGCCTTTTATCCTAAAGGCACTAGATTCTTCTAGTTTGAATATAAGAAGTTTGAATCTGAGGACTCTGTCCTTCCTGATGGGTAACCATCAGCGGACATTACTGTTCCTTGCAGACATTTATGAACATTGGTCCTCGAAGATTGTCTTCGTTGAGATTTCTGTAGCCTCAGAACCAGAGTTAAACTATCAGCCCAGCTGAGTTCATGTAGCCCAGGACAGTCTTCTGTTGGACACGGACGGCCAGTGATGACAACTTCAGTTGGCCTGATGCTCAGATTCAGCAATCACCCACTAACAGACTCGGCGGCTGTCTTCCTCTCCCCAGATCCTGAGTAACCTGGTGATGGAGGAGCTCCTGCCAACCCTTCAGACAGACCTTCTGCCTAAAATGAAGGGGAAGAAGAATGACAGAAAGAGGGCCTGGCTCAGTGTAAGCGATGATTATGCTGCGCAACTGTGCTACTCAAATTCCTTTCTTTTTTGGGAGGCAGGGTTAAAAAATAAAAAAAATCACTCCTTTGCTGGGTAGAGAACTGCCTACCTTGAGTCTGCTCAGTCTCACTTACATGAGGACTAATCCAAACAGACTCAGACTTTGAAAGAACAGTTAGAGTGTGGGTGCAGTTTTGTTTATGTTATGATAATCTGTGATTGACCCTCCTCCCTCTACTTGACTCCGTCAGTCGCTTGCACATGACCGAGCCCAGATTTATGTGCTGTTCTCTGTTGCAGGTCCTTGAGGAGGCCTACAAACTGGTTCGGCATCAAGTTTCAGAAGGATTAAGTGCCTTGAAGGAGGAATGCAGAACTCTGACAAAGAACCTAGAAGGAACCATCCGTTCAGACATGGATCAGATCGTGAACTCAAAGAACTTCTTAACTGGAAAGATCAAAGGTCAGTGGAGATCATCCGTGCTCCTATGTGCTAAATAAGCTGTGCGTATAAGGCTCCATCTGCTCGTCAGAGTACACAATTTCAGAGGAAAACTAAACTGAGGGAATTGGAAAGAGGTGCTAACAGGTGTAGTAGGAGTACACTAGAGGCACTACTGAGGGCCTGGAGCTTCCCGAGGAAACTTCAGGAACACAAAGTGGAGGAAAGTTTGCTTCTTGCCTGGTGGTGGGGCCCGTATATTCTGATACTGCCCACACCTCCCCTGCTGGAGCACTTCTCTTCTTCTTTTTAATGTTTATTTATTTTTGAGAGAGACAGAGAGAGCACAGGTGTGTGTGCAAGAGAATGGGGGAGGGTCAGAGCAAGAGGAAGACAGAGTATCTGAAGCCGGCTATGTGCTGACAGCAGAAAGCCCGATATAGCGCTCAAACTCACAAATGTGAGATCATGACCTGAGTTAAGCTGGACGCTTAACCAGCTGAGCCACCTGGTGCCCCTGTAGCACTTCTTACGCTGATTATAATGGGTTCTACTTCTGCCCCTTCTCTGCTATAAGCTAAGAACAGGGCCATGTGCTCCCTGGTTTACTCGGGCACACCCAGGGGCTAGTACCATGCCTGGGATATACAGACTCTCAGCAAATACTTGAATGGATGAATAAATGGATTTTCCTGCAACAAGAAAAAAAATTGGTTTAGAGTTCATAAATCTAGATTCTAGTCACAAGTGCAACATTGGCCAGTCATGTGTCCTTGGGAAGGTCACTTGACTTCCATGTGCGTTAGTGTCCTCCTCTGTAATCAGGTGTGCCCACGAGAGAGGGGTCTGCCAACTGTGGCCCTTGGCCCAAATCGGGCCCACCACCTACTTTTGTAAATAAAATTTCATTGGAACACAGCTGTGCCCATTCATGTATGTATTGCCTACGGCTGATTTCATACTATATGGGCAGAGTTGGGTAGTTGGAATGAAGACCTTCTGGACTGCAAAGTTGCGGAAGTTCTCTACCTGGCCATTAACAGAAGAATATTTGCCTGTGCCCTCACAAGAGGCCTGAGATGGCCTCTAAGGGATTCTACAGGACCAAATGTTAAAGTCCTCCATTCCTACATCCCAACAAGTACACCTCACCCAATGTCATTTGAGCGAAGCCTGCAGGCTCCTCTGTGATTGTTTATCAGCAATCCTCTTCTATTGTTAGTTTTCAGATTATTCATTCACTTGCTCATTTACTCACTCATTCATTAAAAAAAAACTAAGTGCTCTCTGAGCCAGGTGCTAGAGCTTTAGCAGTGAACAGGCCACCCAACTCCTTCTCTCCAGGAGCACTTCAGAGTAGAGTGGAGGAGGCATAACTACCGCAAAGGTATGCATGTCTGTTCATGTGATGCCTTCCCAGGAAGATATAAATTCACTTCAGCATTTTGTGTGTATTAGTATCCACATCTCTCATCCCTCCGTTAGCACAACGGATCTAGAATTGACTGTATATCGAAGTACTGTATTCGGTCTAAAACTGCCAGCACCCAACTCCCGAGCCCACATTGCTGGGAGCTGGGCTGAGCTGGATCTAACCATGGCCATTCTCATGGCCCAGATTAAACCAGCCTCTCCCTTTCTCTCTTGCCTGGTCTCGGTGGCTCCAGTATAACCCACATAAGATGGAAAACCATTCTGCCCTAGACTAGTCTTTGTTTCCTAAAAGATACCTTGAAAGGAAGTCACGATCAAGTCTTTTTAAAAGGCAGTATCAGAAACACATTTTGACCAGGCCTCTGGTTCTCTACCATTAATATAGTGAGTACAGTTGAGACTTGAACAACAGGTGTTTGAACCGCGCAGGCCCACTTATATAGTGCGGTATAGCACTGTAAATATATTTTCCTTTCCTAATGATTTTCTTAATAACACTTTATTTTCTCTAGTTCCCTTTATTGCAAGAATAGAGTATATAATACAGACGACGTACAAAGTATGTGTTCGTCAACTGTTTATGTATGTTAAGGCTATTAAGTCTTGGAGGAGTCAAAAGTTATACACAGATTTTCAACTACACGGGGGGGTCAGCGCTCTTAACCTTTGCATTGTTCAGGGGTCAACTGTATACCTCAGACTGTGTCAATAAAGGGCTTTGGGTTTCAGGAAAACTTGGGGAGTGTTAAGCAGTGTTCTTCCCATTCCCTCCGACATGATTCTTGAGAGTAAAACAACCAATCTTTCCTTCTGCCCCACAATTATTTATTCATTCAAATAAGCATGGATTCTGCTCCTGCTGAATACAAAGGCTATGAGGTTATAAAGAAGACAATGCAATTTTACGAAAAGAGGATAGGAGGCCTGTTACAGATGCTGAAACAGCAGGGAAAAAATGTGATCGAGGGCACAGTGGTTCACAAACAGCAACCACTTCAACTTCAAAAAACCACGTGGGCCCCTTATAACAACAGTGCTGTTTTAGTTTGGGTTGATAGGAAAAAAGGATGATGCCGAAAGGTATAACAACGGCTAACGGAGTGTCACACATGCTTCGAAGCATTTGGACAGAGTAAACTCAGAAGTAATTACTCTTACGATCTCCACCTCCCAGATGAGAAGACTGAGCCCGAGATTAAGTAATTTGCCCCAGATTACCAAACTGAGTCAGGCTCCACACCCTTCGAACTCTATCTAGCACTTTCTGCCTTAATCTTTGTGCTCAGTGGCTTCTCCACAGCTGCCCTAACTTCGGGATGGCTTATGAATCATTGTGTCACCGGACAGTATTCATTACCACAGCATCTCTGCGTCCCTGGAAATCAGCAGAGCGTATCCGTCTGGGGTGTCAAATGTATTCCAGTCCCTAAGGAAACACTGGTTCAGGGAGCTGTGTGGTGGTTCCAGGGCTTTAGGCTGTCTGAGTGGGTGAAATTGGTACTGGGTCTTGAGGCGAGTGGGATGTTCACAAGCAGAGGTGGAAGAATGAAGGGGAAAGGTACGCTGAATAAAGGTGCAGGGAGGGGGCTGGAGCCCGTGGGAGCACAGGCAACAGTGGGAATCAGGCAGAGAGGAACAGGTTTCTCCCCAGCCCCTCCCTGTGCCCATTTCCTCCCCACTCAGTAGGTGAAACCGGCCGGCTACCCCTCAGTCCTTTCTGCATACTGCCTGTGTTCATTATTCTGAAATTTCATTCAGATGCTTTTCAAACAGAGAACTGTTTGAAAAGCATATAATCAAAAGGTTTTTTTTTTTAATCCTAGCAGTTCCAAGATCTCATTAATATTTTATATACCAAATATTTGTGAATTATTCATAATACTAATAGTATTGGTCGTCTCAGATTCTTAGAAGAAGAGGCAGTCTGATCCTTCATAAGTGTGAAATATTTCTGCAAATTGAAGTAATGTGGCCATTCATCTCACTGCAAGCGAGTTATTGCCAATAAAAGATTAAGAAATACACTTGAACTATAGTCCCCTAGATGCACAAATTAGGTGTGACCTTAGTTAAGCCATCTGACACCTCCAGGCCTCTTACTGTCCACCTATAAAATGTAAGGATTGGACACCCAGATGTACTTATACTTCCTTACTTAGTTCTGAGATTCTACATGACAAGGCTATGTGACTTACCAGCGCCACAAAGCTAGCCTTCCAGTTTACAGAAAGAGCTCAAGCCTTTTCCAGCTCAGCCTTCCTTCGCTAGTTCATAGTTTTTAAACCTAGCTCATCTTGACGGTCACCTTAGGACTTTAAAAAAAATGCAGCTTTCGGGTACCTGGGTGGTTCCTTCAGTTAAGCATCCGACTTTGTCTCAAGTCATGATCTTGCGGTTCGTGGGTTCAAGCCCCACGCTGGGCTCTGTGCTGACAGCTCAGAGCCTGGAGCCTGCTTAGGATTCTGTGTCTCCCTCTCTCTTTGCCCCTCCCCACTTGCACTCTGTCTCTGTCTCTGTCTTTCTCAAAAATGAAAATAAGCGTGGTGAATCAAGGGAATCTACACCCAAAACCAAGAGTACACTGTATACACTGTATATTAGCCAACTTGACAATAAATTCTATTGAAAAATGAAAATAAACATTAAAAAATTGTTAATTAAAAATTAAAATAATAAATAAATAAATGCAGCTCTGCATGTCCTATTCAGACTTCCTGAATGAGCATCTTTATTGCCTCTGGGAAGTGTGGTTACATTTTTTTCATCCCTCTGTATGATTTTTTGCACTCTCTATATTTTTATCCCTGCACATATTTTCCTTGAATATCAGGAAAAAAATAGCTTTTTTTTTGTTTGTTTGTTTTTTTTTT